TGAGCTAAAGTTTCAGTCTCTCTAGACCAGTTGAAATTGCAGTTGCAATTTTTTTGTTAGACTTTGGGCCAAAAGAAGTGTCATTTGTTGATAATTTTTTTGGTAGACTTACGCGCGGTATTTTTGGAGGTATTTTGGGTAGCCTCATTTTTGAGAGGTTCGAAAAAATCAGTCTAAACTCTAATTTGACCGACAGTTTTACACACGGAAAGCTTCATCTTTTACCTTCCTTGGGCTAAAGTTTCAAATCTTTATTCCTGATGAATGTAGAATTACAATTTCTTTATGGTCTCGCGTTTTTTCAACCGTCGTGTCAGCAACATACATTTTGAATGCTCCTGAAAAATCAAATTGAGCTTTCTGTGTGAAGTTTTATTGACTTTTTACACAGGAAGTGTTCAAACGCGCTTCTTTTCCTTCTTGTATCGGTAGCCTCAACCTTGAGAGCTTCCGAAAAATCAGTTTCTGTTCGGATTTTTTCCACACTTCAGCTTCAGAAAGTTCCATCTATTGCTTACACTATCGAAAAGTTTCAACGCTCTATTAAGGCCGCGTTTGGAGTAACAATGTTTTCTAGCTGGCATGTTTTTCAGCCGCCTGATCAGCAGCATCAATTTTTAGTTAAAAAACGAGCTACAGTTCAAGGGAGTTTGTTACTTGAAGTCAGTTTGTTCAAGGGAGTTTATTACATAGTCACAATGAGTTAATTTGGTTTTCCAAGCATTCAAAATCAAGTCAGAGAATATTTCCATGATTTGGACAAAATATATGATTTTGTCTGGTATCTGCACAGTTTCCCTAGGGAAATCACCCCATAAATAAGGTTAAACGGTTATTTTTCTGTTTTACAACGTTCCAGTTTCAACGTTCCAGTCCGGTTCCAAAAGGAACATGTTACTTGTTACTTCCAAAAGGAGCATGTTATGATTTAGTTTATTAAAATAATATTTCTTAACTAAAGCTCTTAGATAAAATAAAATATTCTAAAATAAAAAACAAAACATGGGTCAGAAATACCGGCTTAAAGATCGAAAGAACTGATAATAAACTAGCTAAAATAAATAAATAAAAACTGATTAAATTCTGTGGTTCTGTGCTGCTGCAAACGGCTTTTTCGGGTTTATGAGACGGTTCCAAAAACAACCGGTTAAATCTGCTAGCTGTTACTACGGTTCAGGTTACACCTTTGTAACAATGTTATTTTAGCGGTTGCGTTACTTAGCACAACTTTGGCAAAAACATTTAAACTTCCAGTGGCACTTTCCTTGAACGGACCCTGGAAAGTCCACGTGCCAACTTAATCCATTCGCATTTTCTTTCGATTGATGGCCGGACTGAAATTTAATTTCCCCGGAACTGGAACACGTGCATACTCTAAGGATCATTAGATAATACTCAGTACAGCATTGTCGTTTATTTTATGTGCTTATGTTCCTATATTTTGCGAGTAACGGTTTGCCGTGGCGGCCAAATGAAAATATTTATTATGAAAAGTTTATTAAAAGTTCCAAGCTTCCATCAATGATTCAAGCGTCTAACTAACATTCGATGAGCGAACTGCAGCCTAATAATTAACGAAATCCCAAACTATCGTTAAGGGTTTGCCCAACCCCTTCACGTGTTCCATGCTGCTTTAAAACTTGGAAAAAACAGAAAATTATCTACAAAGACCCCCATGCCGAAGCGAAAGATCCCGACACTTGATCGAGTTAAAATTTCATTAAAACAGCTGAAAATTCTTCAGACAGTCGCCGTTAACAGAGCCACAATGTTCTGGAAAGAATTAGGCCGCCCTAATGAAAATAATTATAATTTTGGCGGATTAGGGCTGAGGGTCTAGACCCTTTCAGGCCCACACTGTTGCCGTCAACTAATTTTGCAAAGCACTTTGCGTATTAGCGGCCAAGTTAATCATTAAGTGCTTGACCTGTGCGGCATTCCCGTAAGCCTCCTGGTTGGTGTCTTCAAGCCGGTTCATTGTGTTCAAAGGGCGGTTTAAAAACGTTTTCGAAAAAAGCAGCGTCATGTTCAAGTGGATTTTGCAACTCAAAAAAAACCACGCAAATCTAAAACTTCTTGAATTCAAGCATTTTTTGAGAA